CCCATTTATCTACTCAGTTATTCTGCACACTTCATTTTTCCCAGAGGTCATCGCAAAATGAAAAAAGTTTTAGCATTCTTCAACAGCCTAAGAAAACATTTTCCCCTGAAAGTGAATGCAGCATCCATGCGTTTATTACTCAGGCAAAGGCTATGCTCACCCCACCATTGTTAGTGAGAATGTGGAATCTTGGCCAAACTCCTTGAGAGTTAAAAATCCACCCTTGGTGGAAGCAGCTGCGACTTTGAAAGAAGCTACAAATAACATGTTGGGAATTCAGCAGGCACTGTTATTATATCCTGTTTATACTGTCATTTTTCCTATCAGTAGGATATTATTTATACAGACCCCACCCATGAACTTCTTGTTTATCTTATTATAGAAATCGTCCAAATCTATAAAAAGACACTTCTGTATTTGTTTCTGGAACAAGCACATGTGTTATAATTTTGCACTTCACTACACTTTTTTATTTAGCATTTTCTTTTGTTATGCACCACTCGTTCTCATTTTTATCACAAGGTTGATTTACTTCCCATATTAGAGCTGCATTTAAACTGACTTTAAGAGAATCTGTTATAGGGCAAGATCCCAAAGCAACACATCCTAAACTTTATTTGGGGACAGATTTCATCAGTAGATATTCTTTTAAGATAGAATTCACTACTTTGCTTAAATACAGGGGGAAAAAAATGTGTCTACATGCTGATCTGGTATTCCAGGGAGTAAGCTTAGGATGACTAGACAGCTTCTTACCAAGGCTCACTTTATCTTATGTGGACACATTTTGAGGGCCAGACTTTTTTTAGGTTTTCACTAGCTCATTATTCTCTAGCTAAGTCTTTTCCACACAAATGAGAAGGCTTACCCAAGTTTAGCATGATGGCTAGATAGAAGGGTCAAAATTATTACATAATTAATAATACATGTGAAATACATGAATTCAGTAAGTTGACCAAAGGATAATGAACCCATCTAGTTATCCATCATCTTCATTCCCTGTCTTATAGAAATAACTAAAGTAAAAAAAAAAATGCAAATTTCTTAAGGGAAAAAAATTCCTGTAGCATTTCCTGAATAAATAGTTATTTCTTGAGAGGGCACACACTGAAAACAGTAACACCAGACAATTTTTTCACACGTGTAGCTTTTATTAGAATCACCAATATCCCTTCTTTAAATTTTTTTTTTTTTTAATTAAGGGTACATGCACACACTAGAGAGAGATAAAAAGACAGAGAGATAGGGAGAGGAGAAAGCAACCCCTCATGGGAATGGTCACTCGGCAATCCCTTCTCCTTCATCCTTCCCTCCTTTTGGATTTTGGGCACACCTACCCACCTGCCCAGCATGTGGCATATTTCTCAGGCCACCAAGTCTAAGACTCAAACCATGTGGTCAGCCATGTGGGATATGGTTGCCTTAACCATCAGGCCATGGAGCCAGCCTTACCAATATTCCTTTTACACTGCAGAGCAGCTGTATAAGACAACTAGATAAACACGAAATATCCATTGTACATATGTAAGGCTAGAATCTGGAACTGTCCAAGGAAAGACCACTGCCTTTGAAGAACATAAAATGTACAACTGAAATGAGTTCTAAAACTTTAGAGCTGAGAGTAGTGAGCTCAGTGTAATTTCAGAAAAAAAGAGAGGTCCACATGGACTTAAGCAGTCAAAGAATGAGGATAACAACTGAGATGAAGAGGTAAAAGGCATCCTAGACATGGCCAGTGATTGGGAAGGACCTGAGTGAGCAGAATTCTGGAAATGTGAAGTGACTGAATTCCGCTAAGGGGTATACTGAAGAGAAGATGGCAATAAAAAAGTAGGCTGGAGCCAGATTATAGAGAATTTCAATTTTTAAATATGGGAAAACCATCAAGATGTCTAATCAAGGGAAAATGAACCCAACTATGGAGTAGAAGTGAAGTAGAAGAACAAGTTGGGGTGAAGTTGAAATGAAAAAAGTTTTTAACACTACCAAATCCCATGAACATAGTCACAAAACAAAGGCCCATGTGATACATCAGTTAATAAATGTGTGAATATATTTTCAACTCTTGCTTCAAAACCGGAAGATGGCATCATGATAACTACATCATGTTAACTACTGCACGAGGCAATGTTAAACAATGCCAAATCATTGAAGTTAACATTAGAAAAGTTCAAAATAGTACTTCTCAAATCTAAATCGCCTGGGGGGACCAGCAGTTAACGTAATGGCTATGTCGCTGAACTCTCATGTAGTCGACTGCAGTTCAAGTCCCGGACCCAGTGGCTTAAACTCACGCCGGGCGTGTGTGCGTGCATGCCCAAGATCCAGAGTGGAGAATGGAGGAGAAGGGATTGCAGCGTGGCCATCTCTCGAGGTGGTGGTGTTGGGGGGTGATTTCTTGGTTTCTGTTTCTCTGTCTCTCTCTGTCTTTCTGGTGAGTGCACGTGCCCTATAGCAAAAAAAAAAAAAAAAAAAAGAAAAGAAAAACTCTCAAAAAAAATCTAAATCACCTGGGGAACGAGTAAAAATGCAAATTCTGTTTCCATGGGTAAAGGGTAGTACTCTGCATTTTTTCATTTCCAATAAGTTCTCAGGTGATGCCAGTACTAGTGGACTATTTTTGAGTAAGATGCAAAAACATACATTCAGCTTACTTTTCCAAAAAAGTAATTCTTATTATGTCATGTTTAACCCATTATGGTATGTCTAATGCTTTTAGATATGCCTAAAAAATGTTTTTCTTTCCTTTTTTTTTTTTTTCAAGTTTGCCATAGGATGTGTGTGCTCGCCATACAGAATTAGAGTGTGGGGAGTAGAGGCAGACAGAATGAGAAATCAACCTATCCTCAACGAGATGAAGGGCAACACCACAATCTTCTCTCCTCCAGCCTCCCTAGAGATTTTAGGCCTGCACACACACGTGCCCTGCAAGTTTTTCAAGCTGCTGGGTCCAGGACTCAAAGCATGTAATTGGCCATGTGGGATCCAGCCACCTAAATCTCCATGACACCTACTGGCCTCAAGAAATACTTTTTTTTTGCATCGATGTTAGATAGATTTCAAAGCTACTATATTAAAAATCCAAAATGATTCAAGATTCAGGGAAGTTGACATAGAAAGATTTCCACCTGAATAAAATGTAAAATTTTTTAGGTTTTTGTTATAGGGCTTATGCACTTGCCAAAGAGGAGAGAGACAGAGAGAGGGAAAGCGAAAAATCACCATCCCCCAGGGAAATGGTCATGCCACAATCCCTTCTCTTCGTTTCTCTTCACAGAATTTTGGGCACATATGCACAGGTGCCTTGCATGATTTTTAAGCTACTGGGTACAGGACTTGAACCATGGTAGGCCATGTAAGAATTCAGCAACCTAACTACCATACAACTGGATGATCCCAGAACAAAATAGAATTTGAAATGCTGTTCTATAACTACAAATTATCTTTTATTTTTTAAAAAAAATTTTTAGGTTGACACAGTGGAGGATATTACACTGCTTCTAGTACGGAGGCTGAAGTAAAATACTAAAAGACATTACTCCATCTTTTCATAGTTCACATCAATGAGTTTCCATAAAGAATTTCCTGTTTATCTTGGCCAAACACTGCTTTAAGGACCATAACATGGTCCTTAAAGATAAAGGTTAACAATTTTTTAAATGTCCTATTGCAAAATACCTAAAGACTACAATTAAATTCACATACTACCTTTGGTCTAAAACATCTATGCAGATGACATGTCTTTAATTAATGTATATTTTCATGAACATACATGTCATTTATAAAACTATATTACTAGTGTAATATAGTACATGTACACACACTCACATATTATAAAATGAGTGACCTTAGATATTTAGGATGAAACTTAAGACTTCTGAATTCTGACACTTCATTTTTAACTAAATGAATAGTCAGTAACAATCTTTTATGTAATGAGCTTCAATATGTACCAATATCTAGAGAACAGAAATAATATCTTAAAATTGGACCATACTGCTGTAGCTCAGACCCACGTATTTCATTATAGAAGTAAAAAAACTAAGGCACTGAGGCTGAAAAGCCCGAAGTCACAGAGCAAGTTGGTAATGTATTTTTAAAAAGGAGAGGAAAATTAATTTTTCTCTTTATCAATATACCAAGTACAAAACAGCAACTACAAAATGTAATCCAAAGTTTTCAGTTTCTCTAGTGATTTAAATGGTTAATTTTTTGAGGGTCTTCTATTGGGTTGTCCGGAAAGTCATAATGTCTCTGTTTTTCTATGCAAAAATGCATCATGACTTTCCTGACAACCCCTTGTAGATATCCAAGAAAGAAAGACTACATACCAACAAAGACATGTAATCCCCAAATTAAAGAACTTCATAAAAGATTCAATTTCAATAGAAAATGACACATTAATGCCACATACTAGGGATGGGGCTTGGGTAGGGGTGGAGAATGGGATGGGATATATAAAGAACAAAGAGAAGACAATGGTTAACTCTTACCTTCTCAGTAATGGCTTAAGGAAAGCTTTCACACAAAAAGGTCAAATTAAAAATAATAATAAATAAAATAAAATAATCCTTAAAAATTTTTTTCATTACCCTCATGAATCATTTTTTAACTGGTAAAGCTGTTTAAAAAAAGAGATTTGGAGGACTGCAAAGCTTTTAAAAACATGACAATACAGATAGCAGTTGGATACACGAGTTATAGGCTCTGTTTGATTAACAGAAAACTAGAGAAACCCTGTTTTTAGCCTTAAAACAGGGATTTTGTGTTTGTTATAAATGCTATAAAATTTACTAGCCCAAGTTTTAAAAGAAAAAAAAAAATCACTGGAGAAGTCCTGTGATATGAGGGACAATGGGTTTTAAATCACAGGCATCCATTATTATGCTGAAGTTGACATATCTGCACTGCAATGCAGAAATGCAAGCAATATTCCAACATCTGCCCCAGAGGGCAGAGACTAGACATGATTCCAGAATAAAGGGCTCTTCAGCTCTTACCTGTTACCTGTGCAACAACTGCTTGGGAAATCCTCCGATTGGCAAGAAAGGCTTTGATTTCCTCTTTTATCACACTGCTGTCCCTCCTGACAAAAACAGAAGACAAGACCAACAATGTATGCTGAAGGTAGAAATCCTCATCTTTGCTAAAAGAAACATGAAGCAGAGAGGTGGAGAGAACACAGAAAGGACACAGAAATAAAAGCTAAACAGACCAAACTTGTGTGAAAATGTGAAATTACAACAAACCAAGAAACACCATATCTTCAAGCCCTGAAACCTCACACCATCAGACAGACGCTTAGTGAATGCCACAGTAGAGATAGGTTTCATACCAGAAGATGCTTAATCACATGCTGTCTATAATTCACACTAGGAACAAGGCTGTCATATGGCATACACAAAGTTTCATAACTGGGGAATGAATATATCTTACACAGACAGAAATCCTAGAAAAATAAAAGGCATAACAAAACTCGGTTATGAGCAGATTGTGGGTTCACAAGTCAATTATGCAACTGCAAAAATAATGCTCATTTAAAAACCTTTAAAATGCTTAAGGGAGTAGAAATCATCATTATTCTCACAATTACAAACATATTAGCCATTTTAAGACTATCTGTTCCCTTAACTTGCCTTCTTTTTTCCTATAAACAAAACATCTTAATGTGTAATAGGTTGGATATAACATTAATATTTAAAAAGGCATTTATATAAACAAAATATTTGTTTTTGTTTGATGGGATGGATATAACATTAGTATTTTAAAAAGTATTTATTTCCTGTAAGATATAACATACTGAAAGCTACACTACAGTCTGTGTCCTTAGAATTACATATTATAGACCTCATGTTTCTTCCACTAAGGTAACTGTTTTAATTTTTGACCTACTTAAAAACTCAACAAATTCTCAAAAGACCAGACTCCCACAAGAATGACAGGTAGTGGCCAGAGTTCTGTTTCTCCACCAGAAAAAAACACAATACTTAAATAAAACCATTTTTAAAACCTTAAAACTGACCAATTTCTCTTTGAATACCTTCTCTTCAAAAGGATTACATAAATAGAAAACTGATTTTTGTTCAAGTTCAAAAGTAACACCAAATAGTACTAACATATTGTTTAATACAGGAGTCAGGAAGTTATGGTCCAAGGGCTAAATTTGGCCTACCAACTGTTTTATACCAACTTTGAGCTAAGAAACATTCATAAGTGGACTTTCATAGTCAATTTAATGACAGAAAATGCTAACATTGAACATGACGTAAATAAGATATCATCCTCCGCCTAAAACTTTCAGTCTTCTAATTAGTAGGCCTATATTTTAAAAATTGGTACTCCATCATTATTCATATTCTATATTGAATTCTGTCAACAACAATTTGTGGCCATTTCTTTGCTCTCTTGTATATAACTATTTACATCATATTCTCAATTTTGCCTCTTGGTCACAAAGTCTAAAATTTTTACTATCTAGCCCTTTACAGAAGTTTGCTGACCTATGAACTGAGACAAAGGAATCATAGAACCTTTACAAATTGTTTTATGAAAAGAATCACAAATGCTTTATAGGAGCTCAGCTCTCTCTAAATTATTTGAAGATACTAAAAGAAAGTTTCCAGTCTGTAGTTCTACAGTGTATTTCTGACCTATAGGCTGGAAGCCCTAATAAAAAAGATTCCTAAAGGATGTGGCAGGATGGTGGCACAGGGCTAGAAAGTGAGCTCCTGAGAGACTGACCTCTGCTTGATTGAAACAAAACTACAGAAACCCTGTTTTTAGTCTTAAAAACATGGGAAGATTCTGGGTTAATGTCCAGAGACCTCCTTGAATACAAAGGCACATGTGTGTCCATGATCCAGAGCTGACTGAAGCTGGGGGTGGATTGTGGCATCAAGACCCTATTGGGTGTACTTCTCTCTCGTTCTCTTGTTCTCTGTTCTTCTTGCTCATGGAAAAATAAACTGTTTTGGGGGAAAAATATTCTTAAAGGGTAAAAAATAAAGAACCCGCTGCCTAATGCAATATTTAAAATTTCTCAGAGTGATCTACATTGTGATCTAAATACTGGCTAAATTCCTCCAAAAATGGTTGACTATATTTGAAATATTCCTTTGAAAAACATACATTCTCATTTTATTTTAAAATTGTGTACATGAAAGAAAGAGGTAAAAATAGGTATATTGTACAGTCAAACAAAATAACTGCTGATTAAAACATTGGTAATGTAGAACAAACTCCTCTCAAAAATGTATCAATAGGTCCGGCCAGAGACCAACAGCTGGTGTAATCATTACATTGCTGGACTCCCATGTTGTCGGCAGAAGTTCAAGTCCTGGGCCCAGCAACTTGAAACACACTGGGTGCATGTCCAAAATCCTGAGAGGAGGCTGGAGAAAAGTTTGCAGTGTGGCCATCCCCCCGTGGGGTGATTGCACTTTCTCTCTGTCTTTCCAGCGTGCACACACACCCTATAGCAAAACCTTTCTTAAAAAAGAAATAGGCCCAGCCTATATGGCACACAGACCACTGACTGGGAGGCTGGAGGCTGTATGGCAGGTTTTAATCTGTGCCAATCTGAACACATCCAGCATAGAAGCATTTGCCTGTAATCCACAAATCGGGAGACTGGGGCTGAACGGGAGACTAGGGCAGGACGATCTCAATTTAGCAAGAACCTGTCAAAAATATCTGTCTGTCTCCCTCTCCCTTGCCCATAAAGGGGAAAAAAAAAAATCGTATCAATAACCATTAAGCAAGAAAGTTACTTCTGCAGTATCTGTGAGAGGTCTTCAAAAGTTCGTGGAAATGTCTATCATGAAAAAAACTGGACATGGAATTCCAAATAAATTTTGCACCAAAATAAACTCATACATTAATTCCAAAAATTTTCTGATGCACCCTTGTATTGCAATTGGTTTATGTAAATAAAACAACCAAATAATTTAGTATCTGATACACTATAAAATTTTATTTTCAAAAAATAAAGCACTATATTTCAATGTACAGAATGATTTAGAAAAATGAAATAAAATTTAAGAGACTATTTATTCAAAGAAAAATGTTTTTGTGGGGAAAAATGATTAATATTTTCTTGACTACTAATTTAAACTGGAACTTAAATCATTTTATTTTAAATCAAATTCAGCTAGAGTAGACACTAAATCATATAGAACAGGTAACACTCAATTATTACAATAGGAAATATCCAATTTATAAATTATTCACAGCCTTGAAATATTATCAAGGACTGCAGAGAGACAGAAGGAACCCCAAAAGTCTACAGAACAGCAGCAATTCACTTATCCTCTAACAGACTATATTTTTAGATTTTTGGCAGGTTTGTAAGAGTCCACAAAAAGTTTAAATAAAAAACTCTTTACTGCTTTACCAGAGAGAAGTTTTTCTGAAAGAAAAGCAAGACAAAAAATAAGGGATGTGGGTAAGTCATTTAATAAAAACAAGAACCTGGTTTCATCACTGGGTAAAATGAGAACGTTAATATTCCCTTCACGAGGCTTTTCATTTTTTTCTCCAAACAATGAAAATAATATTAAATGTATAAATATACATGTATGTGTGTGTAATAATACATAAAATAGATTCTTCAAGGTAAAACATAGTAAAACATATTTTTTAATGTTGGAGGACTATATAAATACTGATACATTATTACATAAAACCTCAGAAAGGCAAGGTCAACAGGTGGTATGGTGGTTAAGGCACTGGATTCCCACACAGCCAATCACAGTTCAAGTCCCAGACTCCATGGGTTAGGAATTATACTGGGCATGTGTGTGCACGCCCAGGATCCTGAGAAGAGAATGGAAGAGAAGGGATTGGGGCAGTGCCATTCCTCCTTAGGAGTGATTTCTCACTTTCCTCCTCTTTCTCTCTCTCTCTCTCTCTCTCTCTCTCTCTCTGTGTGAGTGCATGTGATCTACTAAAAAAAAAAAAAAATCAACTAAAGAAAACAAACCTCAGAAAGGGTTCCAGGAAAAGAAGAAACAAATGATCTGGTATAACCATGTAAAATTAAAGTAAGCATTTATACCAGGTACTACAAGGCACCATGGAAAGAGTTCTATAAAGTCAAGTTAGATGCAGCAGTAATGCGTCATTTTGTTGGTTTTATCGATATTTTTCAAAATAGTAACAACACTTAACTCTCATTGTGTCTAATTCTCCTGTATTTCGAGGAGTTCCATTCCACTCGGTTAACTTTGTTCTTTAAACTCTTCCTTACTCCTCTCAGTATCTCCGTATTCAAACCTCCATGATCTGTATCTCGTACCATCCTCATTGTGCCTTCTTGGATCTAAATCTAAATCTCTCATCTTCTACTCCTATCTTGTCTTTTTATCTGAAATTTAACATCCTTCTCAAAGAGAATAAACCTTTTTCCCCTTTATCTTAGAATACCTCATACTCCTCAAGTCTTACAGAATTAAAGTGAGGAGTAGGCTGATCTTTTCTTTAATTCCATTGCTGATGGCCAAGATAAGCTACCACCTGATTAGCATCTAAAAACTTGAAGTCCATGTCATATCCTCTTACTACTTTTTCCCTCACTGTCATGCTGAATCCATGCGTGTGATTTCCACATCAGAATTAAAGTCTTCCCTTCCATCTCCATTGCCATTATTTTTTTAATAACTGCTAAACTTGCTACTGCTATCAACAGCCCTTCTAATATCCAGACGAATTCATCAGTAATAGTCTTTAAGGAACCACCTTTTTTAAAAAGATGCAATTTGGAGCCGCGCGCCGGGAACGGCCTGGCCGGCGCCCCCCCCACTCCGGGGGGCGCGCCACGCGGCCAGGGGGTAATAATAATAATAATGAATAAAATTAAAAAATAATTCTTAAAGAAAAAAGATACAATTTAACTGTCACCTATTCAGAGAAGTTCTCACTGACCATAACTGAAAAAAAGATTCTTTCTTCTTAATTTGTACAATGAATGAACAAATTTGTAGTTGGAGATAAAAGGTTTTAAACAGAAAACCTGATCTAGATCATGGAAAAAACAGCTTTAAATTCTTATTCTCAAATATGTTTAAGTTTCTCAAATCAAAATGAAGT